ATTCAGGTAGGCTAAAGAAGGACTGGTATTTCAAGCAATCAGGTGAAGAAGACCAAATAATCCTGAAGTCAACTGCTTTCATTTTATGGTCATCTAAAGTCACCTGTGAGAGAGAATAAAAATGTTTCAAGACATAAAACCCAAGTGGTTCAATTCCTAAAACAATGGCATTTTCCTAGCAAAAGAAAAAAGGTTTTATGATGGGACATAAACGATGGCAGACACCTTAGCAACAGCCGACGGATGAACTTCTGATGCTCCTTCCACATACAGGCAATTGATCCCCAAGGTCTGCACAGACAAATATGAAAATTTTACAACGAAAAAACTATGATCAGGTCAGGTACTTCACAACTTCAGCACAAAAACTTAGTGAAAACAAGGTTTCTAGACGTACAATATTATCAATATCTGTAAAAGGAGTATTAAGCAGAGATAGTGATCCCTGTGCATCATCCAGGATTCCAAGATATGACCTCCCCTTCTGCCTGCATGCAAACATCCCTTATTAAGCAAGAATAGATAGCAATCATTGCAAATTACAAGTCCAAACAAGAAACTCAAAATAACCAGAAATAATTCTCACCTATAGCTGCAAGCAATTATGTTTTTACTTTCATGGCTCTGAATAAATTCATAAGAATTCATGCCAAAAACCCATAATGGTTTGGAAAACTCAGCATCCAAGGAATAAACTGATATGACCTCATTACTAGACTCAACCTGTTGATACAGAAAATGTGAATTACGAAAATATGTATCATATGAAAGCCAATTGATGCCAACTGACAAATAATTGTTGTCCGACTAGACAGCAGACTCCAGCAAACATAAAACTGAGCACACTCTTCTTTGACGCCAAAATACTGTTATCCAATTAAGCAGAAATAAAAATCCATCTTCCAACTAGATGTTACTTAACCATATTAGAAGGAGTATACTGTTCTTATCATTTGCAATAAATAAGCTAGACAGAAATGCTAAAGTACGGAACTTACCCATTTATAAAGATTCCAGTACCCACTTTTTCTGTCAGTAATAAAAAATAGTTCCCCTGCATTCAAGTATACCCAATTAAAGCATGCAAGGGCATGAAGCAACTGAAAGTTCAACAGTTTTTGGCCTAGGTTAATAGAAATATTTGACCGTGTAAGACAAAAATATCACTATGCGGAATAAACTCAAGGAGTGAAAGAAATTGATAGATTCTAAGAGAGTAGTCATAAAAATCTGATCCCTGTCAAAGCTACTTAAAATTTTTCCTCAACCACGTAAAAAAGGTACCTTTAGAGGACCACTTGGGTTCAACTGGGGACTCCTTCATGGAAGGATCAGAGCCAGCAACACAAATTCGTTTGAAGATTTCTCTGCGAGAAATAAACATAATTCCATATTGATCATATGTAATTATGGTAGCAATCCATAAATATATCTACATTATATGTAAATATAACTGAACTTAATCTGCATGAAGTGTGTGCCGACATATCATACTTTCCAAAGGTGATTAGTTCCTTCAGCGTGACCTAATTTATCTTGGAAAGATAATTTTTGGGAAGGGGATGATAATGAGCAGCAATGTTATCATGAAAGGAGATTCGCTTACCCCTTTTCAGAGATATACCCAACCCAAAGTTGAGACTGATCCCATGGCATGTTAGGATGGCACCATTCAATCCATGCCAGCCGTTCACCTTTGGGATCCAAACGCGGGAAGGCATAAAAATCCGTTCCACCCACTAGTACTTCTGGTTCTGTATGTCAAATGGAGTCCAAATTAGTTAAACAATGTCAAAGATACTGCAATATCTTTAACAGTTAACAGATACTATGGCACCATAAACTGAAGCAAGATATGGATTGTTGATAAACCCTTACCCCGAATGTCCTTCCCATCAATCCCTACTGAAACAATTGTTGTTATCGAATTAGTGCTGCTTTCACGACGATCTACCAAAAAAAATGAGAAATTAGTTTGACACGTAATCCCTCATATCTTATAAACGGAAAAACAAATGAATATACTTATAAGAATGCACTACAACCACATACCTTCCTGTACAGTGACAAAACGGTCAAAACGTGCATCAAACACCCCGTCAGCATAACTAATAACCGGTCCGCCATAATCCGGTGTGAGTGGTGTAGGAGTAGAATCTAATCGAGACCCATAAGACCACAACACCAATATTAATACAAGTTATCATCTTTTCAAATTAAGCGTTAATTACCAACCTTTTTCCGAGAAATTGAAAGTACCAAGCACATAAAAGCTATGATATTGATAACGTCACATACCATTGGAACTTAGAGATTGCTTGTAGAGACGTTGATCCTTATAATTGGAGAAAATGATTGTGTCCCCTGAAACGCTGAATGCACCACCTCCGTACTCCTGCGCAACCGTCCGAACCGCATAGTCCTTCGGTGTAATATCAACCGGTTCGTCCTCCGGCCTCTCTGGTTCTCTCACCAGAACGTCCCGTCTATACATACACCGTATAATTCCTCATCGGCTCATCATATATACACATTCACGAGAATTGGAAATAACAGATAGATAGAGACAGATGGATACCCTGATTCGGAGGGGCGGGACTCGAGCCAGATGAGTCGGCCGAGGGAATCGACGGCGGTTCCGCCGAGTTGCTTGGAGGCGCCGGAGACGACGTCGGCGGAGATTGGGGATTTCCAGGACCCGTACGGAGCTACGATTTTCTCCGATTGCTTGGCTTGCAAGGAAGAAGAAGTAGTCATTTGGTGGCGGTGGTGGCTGTTCGTCTGGACTCTGGATCTGAATCGTTGACGGATTCGATTGAAGGAAGACGAAGATAAGCGATTGAGATTGATGGTAGCCATTTCTGAATCTCCCAATCCGCGTTTTTATATTTTAAAAATAACACCCTTTTTCAAACATTTACAGAAAAAATAAAATAAAATAAAAAACTGTTGGGAGAGTTTTGAAATGGGCGGGAAAACGCGGGCTTTTTGGAGGCCTGGGTCAGGGTGATTCTGAGGCTTTATATGGGCCGTGTGATGGTCCAAGTTTAATGGCCTCATATATTGTTAGCTTTCTAAGCCCAATCTAGACTTTCCAAGTTTCTATACCTCTTTTTTTTTCTTTCTTTTTTTTTTTGCATTTTTTTTCATCACTCTCAAGTCGTGGCAATATTCAACACTATATTATTACTGTTGAATAATTTTAAATTTTAATATTTATTTATATTCACTACACATATCTCAAAATTTAAACTTATATAACGATGATAAATAGGGTGGTAAGCATCACCATTGTGGTAGAGCCAATGTGGAGGCATTGGCTACTGTTGACCCCAATAACATATAAAATCCCCCCTTTGAAATTTTGTTTGACCCTGTACTAACTAAGACAAATGAAATAAGGAGACCTTTAATCAATATTTTTTAAATTGACACAAACCAAAATTGCGTCATTTTTGTTCTGTTTCACTTGGAAAAAAAGTTTAGCATGATAATTCTCAAACAAGCTGAAGACTTATCAAGCACGCAAATGCCTTCTCCACCCAGACTTCATATCTCCTAATTCAAAGCTTATCTGTTGTTCAAGTTTGGTCAGGCACCCTTTATCGCACTTGGTTGTATCACGAAATCTCAATCATGACTGTATTTTTCTCATCTTGGGCTTATTGAAATTTTTAGCATTTTTGTATTGATTGATTGATTTTAATGATATTTTTGGAAAAAAGAAAAAATATTATAAATTGGCAATTACAAGTAAAAAGTATGATTAAATTTTCGAAGCTTCTATTTTATGACCCCATCGTTGTAAATTTATGACTCCACCTATGCTACTTAAGTGTGGTGAGCAAACTAAAGCAGTTAAAATCGTGAAAATAGGAACAAAAGCAATAATTAGGATGTGAGCATCTAGCTGAAAGCTAATTGGCAAGTGGATAGATCCAGTGTGTTCTTAAACACTAGTGCAAGGATCTAATGTGTTTTTAACTAATTCAAGTGAATAACACATACTTGGAGATGCAAAGGGTTTTTGGTCGTTAGGTGCACGTAGATAACATGCTCTGATATCATGTTGGTGTAGACATGTAAATTTCGGTAAAAATAAATGTTCACCAATGCATTAAACTTTGACATGCGAGGGCTTACGTGGCATGTACCATGTGTCTCACAAATCATGAACCAAGACACAAATGAAGTTTTGGTACTTTCGTACGCAAAGCTTGGAGAATCTATAAATACAAGGCTCCAAGACAAAGAAAGTGAGCCAGAAAATCATTCTCACACCTAGACGCTAAAGCTCTCAAACTCCCAACTTCCCAACCACTCAAACACTCCAAAAGATTAAAAAAAGTCTCTACGTTCTCACTACAAGAAAAATGGGCTAAGAACACAATTGATTTGTGCCCTTCTCATTTTCATTGAGCACAAATACATATTTGTGTGTTTTAAATTCCATTGAACACCAAATTTTCTCAAATGTGCCCTCTAACAAAAAAAACAAATTAGTTTGTGTCTGGTATTTGTGCCTACTAAATTTTGAACACAAAACTTTGTGTCCAGCTTCCATGTAAGAGATGAAATTTTTTTTTTATTAATTTACAAACACACAATAAAGGCTTTTGTGCCCTCTAATTTAATATTTTTAAATAAAAATATATTTTTTTTATGTCCTTTACATTTACTTTTTCCCTATTCACAATTTGTGAAAATATCTAGTTGCAATCAAGTTGAATTATTAGGGGGGAATCTAATTGATCTATTATTTTATTAATTTTCTAATGGGTTTTTGTGTCCCGTGGGACCCACCCACATGAGTCTTCACCCTTCCCTGTGCATTCACTCCTTTCTTCACTCCATCACTCTTTCGTCTCTCTCTTTCACGCAACCCTTTCTCTCACTAACTCTCTCCACTTCTTTATTTTTTTTCTTTGTCATCTCCCTCACCATCTATGTGCTCACTGCACAGAAAACCGCATAATCCATCTCTACCTCACTCGCCACTCCGGTGAACCTTGCCACCATCCAAACACCACACTGTCATCCTCGCTCTCTCACAGTCTCTCTCTCTTCTTCTCGACTTTTTCCTTGACACAGAGCACAGAAGCAATGGCGACAAAGCTGCCGATCTCCAGCAAGGTAACCACATGCCTCACCTTGCTCTCCTCACTGCGGACTCCCTATTATCTTTTGCTTTCTGAAAACAGAAACTGATGCAACGAATTGACAAGCTCCATGGCAGCTTGACTTCCTGGCGAGATTTTTCGTTGAATCCAGTATGGGTGAGTCTCGAAAACACCTTAGTTAGGTTCTTTAAGTTGTTTAGATATGTTTTCGTGCATTGCATGCCTGATTTGGTTATGGTTGGATGCAGTTTCAACCTAGGGGACAAATTCCCCAAATTTCCAATGAGGGCTGTGAGTTTCAGGCTGATTTTAAGCTATCACCGGCCACCCAATGGCCCTGAGAAGGTATATTTCGAATCCTTACCTTCGTAGCTTTGTGTTCGCTTTTGAATTGTTAAAAATGGTTGTGTTTTGGAGCAAAACGGACTCTAAAACCCATGGCGTGGCTGCAGGTCGTTCTCTCGCTACGCGTGGTACTACTGTGGATTGCGCATAGAGCACAGGCACCTCCACCGGAAGGATAAATGCCTGAAAGGATGAATATACATTTGAAATCATTGCCTTGTTTTTTTTTCTTTAAATTATAATGATGATTTCTTAGTTGAATTTCGGCATGTGATTGATCTGTCAAGAGGAGAAATTATGAGCAATCTTTTCCTCTTCTGATCTAGTGTTTTCAATTGTTTGATTCAGGTTGTAAGGTATTTCCATTTTGTTTTTTTGTTTTTTTTTAAATTAACTAATAGACCACAATTACAAAAATTGTGCTAACATGAATTTGAAATGTCATCTGACACAAGTGTCAGAACAAGGCACAAAAAAACCCTTATTTGTGCTCAACTCTTTGAGCACTGATGGTTATATGGTGCCCTCTAATCAAAGGGCACGCCTATAGAGGGCACATATATAGTTTAGTTGCTTGTATTGTTAATATTGCTCTATGGGCACATATGTTGGTGCCCTTTGACCTCATAGGGCACAAATAACTTGTGTGCATTGACCATATTTTTTGTAGTGTCTTTGTCAAATCCTTGAAGAATCATCAAGCACCACTACACGTGCTAGTTCTTTCATCGCCACAAGCCAAAACCTTGAGGCGTTCGTTCATCCGAGATCAAGTTATCACGACTCTTAGATTAATAACACACACTTTTCATCTTCAAAGATCGAATTAGATGATCAAACCTTGTAAAGAGCTTGCAACTCTAATCTCGTTAATACAAATATTATTTTATACATGTGTTCTTGTTTGATTTGTCACAAAAATTTCGCATTTACAGTTGGAAAGTAAGCATCCAACTCAAAACTAACTAACAACAAATGAAAAGGGTTCAGGTCTTTTTATACAAAAATCCAAGCCTTTTTAGTAAACAAGGGCCTAACTTAATAACTTGTAGATCAATGATTGAGTGATGAGAGAGGTTTTCACTTCCTTGTTTGGGCATGGATTGTCTTCCACATTGTCTAATCTCTAGCTAACATCCACATTAAGCAAAGCTTTTTCTTGACATCATGTCACTTGAATTACCAAAAGAGCTGACGATCCCATCATTAGCACAATAATAATTCTAACGGATGGTATTGATAGGTGGAGGAGTTTTCAAACAGTGTTCTGATTAATCTATTTTAAATTTGCTTTATATGCCAAAAACATCATATTCAAATATCAATCGTCCAAAAGTTCAGTTATCAAATCAAATGTGTTATATATAATTATATTTTCATCCAGGCATTTATCTATATGGATTGCATGTGGATGCGTTGTTAGTCTGGTCTCAACCAGCCTGTCATTTTTTACAGTGTAAGTTGTAATTTGTCTCAGACGACGCCAAATTTTATAAAAAATTTCTTCCAACTTTTGACATCATCTTTGACAAAGGCAGATTCTTAAAGATCTTTTTTTTTTAAAGAAAGGATAGTGATTTTCATTACTAACTATAACAGTATCAATTACAAGGGTTATATGGGTACAATCTATAGTGACCAAATATTTGATCTAGAGGTAGTTTACACAAACAAATAATGATGATAAACCCCTAATTGGCAACCACAAGCATGCACACACTAGTACAAGAATTCTTGTACAAATCTCCCACAAAAATGGTAGGTGCAAAGACTTATATCGGAGCATATGTATGTCACCACCACATAAGTGAGACCACATCAAACCATCGCTAACAAGCGAGACCACATCAAAAACACTGCTCACACTCGAAGCCACATCAGTCACTAGGTGAGACATTACCCGCTAGATGCGGTGCAAACAAACCTATGTTGACCTACACTATCTGAGAAACTAAATCTTTCGGTTGGCTTGTCTCTAACGATTGGCTCATCTCAACTTCCAACTTTACCACTTCTAGTGAGATTAGCCACAACGTGAGCCAAGCAAGGCAAAGCCTCCATATATCTTGTCGAGGAAGGCATGCCGCCATGGATCAGTCAAGGAGAGCCACAAAACCCTAAAAAAAAGTCATAAAATGAGGATCCGACTCATCAACAACCAATACCCAACTAAACTCGCAAATCTTGCCTAAATCAAGGGGATAGGCCCAGTGAGGCAGTAATTCTCGAATTTTGCGGGGAGAGGGGAGTGCATCAAAGCCGCGAAAATTGGTTGCCCACAAAAGGATGGTGAAGAAGAGGTGCTACGCAGCACCAAAAACTAGAGAGAGAGGGGGGAAAAGGGAGGGTTGAGGAGGAATGGTGGGGGAAATAAGGGGATGAAAGGCAGGGAGTCGAGAGGCTAAGGAGGCAGGGAGTGGAGAGTCTAGGGAGGTGGGGACGTTAGGAGGAGAAGGGGGCGCTAGGAAGAGGAGGGAGAGGCTGACGTTGTCCCCAAGTCAAGTCAAGGCAAGGGACGGGTGGCTAAGATACAGTACTAGGGTTTCTGTTTAGAGAGGGAGAGAAAGGAGGTTGCGGTAAAGGGATTTTTTTACATTCTCGTTGGTTGTTGATCGATCCTTAAAGATCTTTAATAACCCTACAAGCTTGGATTTCAAATTTTCACTCTCGAGCTTAGTTAAAAGAGTAAATTGTAGAAATGATCTCTCAACTTTAATCAAATTGGAGTAATGATCCCTTAACTAAAAATCTATTGTCATTGGTCCCTCAACTTATCAAAACGTGTAACTATTGGTCCTTTTCGTCAACTTCGTCAGAATTCTGTCAAAATGAGTAATGTTGGAAGGACCTTTGCTACAATTGGGTTAAAGTTGAGGGATCATTGCTCCAATTGAGTTAAAATTGAGGGACCATTTCTCCAATTGAATTAAAGTTGAGGGACCATTGATACAATTTTTCTTACTTAACTTTCCACATTTGCCTCTTGATTTAGCCTCACGTGCATGGCACGTGACTCATTTTAGCGGAAGTTCTAACGGAGTTGACGAAAATGATTATAGCTGCACATTTTGATGAGTTGAAGGATCAATGGGAATGAATTTTTAGTTGAGGGACCATTACTCCAATTGGTTAAATATGAGGGATCATTGCTACAATTTACTCTAACTGAAAACTCAAGAGTTTAATCTGAAATCTAAGCAAGAAACTGACACACCAAGAATGACAAAAGAATTACACTATTACCGTGTAAAATTACACTAGTACACTATTAAAGTGCCAATCTCGAATCGATTCAATCTTATATTATTGGTTTTCTCCACTTTCGTAAGTGATCAGATCATGGTTTAGTTGCAACTTTATGTTGCATCAATGAATAAAACTTTTTTGGTAAATTCATATGCATATGCATATGGAACCCACCTTTGCTGCAGGTAACTTGGTCTTGCATTGTACCCAAACTCCAAATTATATGCTTTAAACCGACCACAGCTTTTCTATCCAACCATATGCTTGTGGTACATGATTGCTCAATTAGTGGGTCGTTTCCCAAAAGCGTATTGGACATGATCATGGAGTTAAATCCCAATTCTTTTGAATGAGTTATATGAGCACTCAATACCTAAGTTTCTAACTAGGTTTCACAGCTTTAGTTAAGCTCCCAATAAACCAAACTATCCAGCAGATGTGTTGTTAGGTGATTTGATCCTCCCATAGTTATGCTCCATGAACAGTAAGGTGTTTGATAAGACGAACAGACACATAGTTGTACATAATCAATAACACCAAATCTTGTATATTTTATTAGTTATGGCTAAGCACTGATTAAAGACTAAATATAGTAAAGCATGGAGCTCCAGCATGGACACTAGTTCTCTCATGTTTTGACCCTCTTGTTAACGATGTAGTGGAGCTTCAAATTAATGATTTTGTTGCTACTAAATTAGGGTTCAAATTAATGATTTCGTTGCTACTAAATTTTAAGGTTCTTGCACTGTACCTAAAAATGTCATGGTGACGTTATCTTAAGCCATGATTCACGTGACAAGTTTGCACGATTGGTTTCAAATACTGTGACTGAGACACTGCGGGTGTGTGAAAGTTTTGCTACTAAATGTGCCACGGATGCCTAGTTAAACACAAAACAGAAACTAGAAAAACACTTAGTAGAGCTTATAGAACCCAACCCAATTATTTGCAGCACTAACTTTTGCTGCCTAACATGGCGTTTGTGATAAGACCATATCTGACATACAAGAGGGAGGAAATAAAAGGGAACAGGGAAAGAGATAGCGACTATAAACAATGGAAAGAAAGCAAAGTTTAATTCCAATTAATATGGATAAGCAGGAGAAAAATATTTTGAGGGGGATGATGAGCTGCACCTCAATAATTATATTGAGGCATTTAGGATTGGGGTTTGGAAAAGCATAAAGCTAGTGACATTGATGCCTTGTTTGATGATCAGAGATCCACATGCATAACCAACATTTCCGCATTTCATTTCGAGTTTCTTTCCGCAAAATACTTTGTTACTTACGTTACTTGTAAGGAATCATTCTTCGTAATCAAGTGATTTGCAAGTGAAAACGACTTATCACATGATAACGAGTGATCTATTAAAAAAGAATGAGTCATTACTTGCGACGAGTGATATATAAGAATGAATGACTGCTTTTACATGAAATTTGACTCGTTACAAATAATAAATGATCTTCAAATGAAGAAAAATGACTCATTACATGCTAAGAGGCGAACAATGTTGGTTTTATTTTTCTTCATGCCCTGGCCCTTCGTCTGCAATCTGTGTGGTCCGACCTCTACTTATCTTATCACATTCAACCCCCTCCCCTTTTCATCACTAAACTTTGTCATATCACTCTTTACTATTTAGTCCCATTAAGTTCCCCCTCCCTTAACCAACTTGAAAAATAAAACATAAAAATTGAATTCCCTTTCCAAACTTCAAAGATTCCAATCACGTAAACTTAAACTAACCCCGAAACGACGCCGTCCAACAGAAAGTATCCAAACACAAACATAACCAAATGACTGACCAAACTAAATTTTGAAGTCCTATTTTCTCCAACCTTCCACTCTCTATATATATTTCCAATTAGCGTACATTTTCAAACACTCATATCTAATATACCCCTTCTTGTATTTGTTGAATTGATTTCTGAACCACAAACCCTAGCCACAATGCCTTCTGTGCACTCTAGCCCCTTCTACCACTTAGAGAACTCAGCCATATTTAACCTAATCCGGCACGGTCATACGCCGGGCCAAAAACGTTCATCGAAATCTTCATCCGGAGGTCTTCTCAAGATGTTCAAGCTCTTCCCCATGTTGACGTCAGGCTGCAAAATGGTTGCTTTGCTAGGCAGACCCCGAAAGCCGTTACTAAAGGATCATGCCACAACAGGTACAATTTTCGGGTATCGAAAAGGGAGGGTGAGCCTAGCAATACAAGAAGACCCTCATTGCATGCCACTCTTTGTGCTCGAGCTGCCAATGCACAGTAGTGTGTTTCACAAAGAAATGGCGTCAGATATAGTCCGAATCACGCTGGAGAGCGAGACGAAGACGCACAAGAAGAAGCTGACGGAGGAGTTTGTGTGGGCTGTGTATTGCAATGGAAGAAAGGTAGGGTATTCTATTAGGAGGAAGCAAATGTCGGAGGACGAGCTTCATGTTATGCAAACTTTGAGGGGTGTTTCGATGGGGGCAGGGGTTCTTCCATGCCCTTCTGATCAGAAGGAGTACGCAGGAGATGGGGAATTGACTTACATAAGGGCAAGGTTTGAGAGGGTGGTTGGATCAAAGGACTCTGAAGCTTTGTACATGATTAATCCCGATGGTGCTGCAGGGCCAGAATTAAGTATTTTCTTTGTAAGAGCTCATTAGCTTAGCAAAAAATTATGTTCTGTTTTCATTAATTAATATAGGTTATTTAATGTAACTTTCTGTCTATGTAAACTAAGGTTCTCAAATTCATGAATTGATTGTTTTTAACTTCAATGATTGTAGTCTGTCCTGCTCTTCTAAGGTCCTCAAATTTTGAGGACTTGTGCGAACCAAATTCATATTAGCCGTTAAAATGTATTAGCTTAAGATCCAAAAGTTTAAAATATTTGACAAATAAGCGAAATCAACTTAAAATCCAGGAACCATTAGAAAACTCGTTTTCTTGTTTTGCTTTATTAAGTTGTCAAATATTTTAAGTCTTTTGATCTAAACTAATATAATCTTGTGACTATTATGCATTTGATCATCACAGGTCCTCAAAATGAGGGCCTTAGGAGAGCATGAGTTGTAGAGTAGTTGAGTTTCAAAAGTTTTTTTTGTCCTTTTTTGACGAAGTAATATTCTAAAACTTCTCTCTAATTGACAAAAAGGGTATTCGAACTCGAGTACAATAAAACCGACACATTGCGTTAACCAGTTGGCATAACTATCTGTAGTTCCAAAAATATCTTTAGTTGCCTTCAAGGTATTGCCTTGATCATGATGATACATATGAAAGAATCATTAACAGGCTGGAAATTGCTTGGACCACAATCAACTTTTAGGCAGTGTAGGCGCTTGTACCATTGAAATTAATGTTTTCAGACCCAACCCCCTTTCCGAAGTAAAATTAAGGGTTAATGATATTTTACACTATAAGATTGGAGGGTCATTTGCAATTGAGACACAAGGTTTCGGTTTTCACATATTACACTACGTGGTTTTTGAAATACATTAATTTAACCATCTCGTTAATTTTACTGTCTAATTAGGCATTAAGTAATGAAGTAACATGGACTAGGGTGGCATTTGAAGCACACGACCATCAATTTCACGGTTTAGTACTTTACACTTTTACTCTTTTAGTCCTTGTATGAAATCGACAACCAACGTGTACCTCAAATGCGGGCTTAGTCTATGCCACGTCAATACTTAACATCTAATTAAACAGTAAAATTGGCGGAATGGTTAAATTGGTATGTGTAAATTGAAACTTCGTACTCATTTTGTAAATAAGCCCAAACCTTGTTGTGTAAAATGCAGTTAACCCTAAAATTAAAAAAAAAATAGAAGAAAATGAAATTGAAAATGAAAATGAAATTTTAATCCTGTATGTAACAGCGTTGATATCCTGATGTTACATCGATATCTGATAGATATTGTTGATATGACGTTGATATTTGGTATTAAACATCAATATAACACTATTAAAATAACATTTATATTTGGTATCAATACGTCAATATAACGTTGTTAAAATAACATTGATATTTGATTACTTTATCGCCGTGTAGGTCGTTCATGTCGCTCAACCAGGTCATGTGCAGCCCATGCACACAATCCACATGCGCAGGGAAGAAAACCACAGTATAACCTGAGGCCCTATAAACCCAAAAGTGAGCCGTACTCGATTCAATCAGTGCTCCAGTGTAACAAAAGTAATAGACAACAACAATGGGCTTCTTGAATTGTACACAGCCGCCCGGCTTCATTTTGTCAAGAATAATGCTAGGATGCATGCGCGCGGATTGACTATAGTTGGTTATTCATGCTTGTGCAGGATTGCAGGATTAGTGACGCTTAGGATCAATTATTGTCCGACCTATTCACAAAAGAGCAGAATGCACTAATTTGTTGATGAGAAACTAATCCAGTTCGAAGTTGTTGATGTTCATACCAATCGATCATAGAAGAAAAATTCTAATTCATTTCCTTCCGATTAAGCTTCCTTCCTATTAAATCTGGAAGTTCTTCACTAGCACTGGGGTTTGTATCTGCACGAGACTAAGTAATACCTCAATGCGAAGGACCCTAATTTTTTATGAGTAAGTCAGACAATCCACCTGGTACCCAACTGCCAGACATAAGAATTTTCGACGTGATAGACTACCAGACATACATAGAAAGAGATAAATCTAGGGCTTACATTTAGGTTATCGTAAATGTATTAAATTAAAGATCGTCAAAGATAGTTATCCAGAAAAACTTGACCCAAATGAATTTACATAGATTCCAAGCTACATCCCTTATTGGATAGGGGTTGGGGTAGGTTGGTAAGAAGAATATAGTTAATTAGATCTTCCCCATGGACTAGAGTGAGAAGTCTTGCGATGGTATTTTAAAAATTGAATCCATCTGTCAACAGCTTGCATATTCAACAAATGTCCATTTCAGTTTCTGTGTGTAAAAGCGACTTGTCACTTGTAATATTGTAGATAATTGCTACATATTTACATCTTTTGATCTTTTGGAAGCCTGCCGAAGATTTTGTACGCAGTACGTTCTATTTATGAGTCAGTGTAGGTTATCTCCCATTTTAGTTATTTGTATGTGTTTACGCGTATCTTTGTTTGTCTAGAAGAATGATCGAATGTCGTAGACAATGCCAATACGTACTTGCTGCCAGAGTTATGTTCGTACATCTATACACACGTATGTAAAGCATCAAGATGCCATTTACTAATTTTCAGGATTCACAAGTTTTTTAAAAGAATCAATACATACAAAACGAATGAGTGCCGAATCATACAAAACGAATTAGTGCTAAAACAAGAAGTAATAAAGGTAGGGCGCATCAATACGTGTGGGCATCGGCGGATCCATATGAGGATCCCTCGGAAGTTCGAAGAAACACTTGTGATCAATCTTCAAGACCCTCCAACAATTTGGGCAGGTGCAGTGAAGAGGCTTGTGTTCCTCCATGAATGTGCAGGCAGCAGTGCTTATAACAAAGAAGAAGAAGAGGCTTTTAATTTTTGTTTTAAAAGACCTATCCAAAACAACAGCATTTTTGAGCCAGATCATTATAAAAAAAATTAAAAACTAAAATATCTTTGTTTTCTCTATAGGGCCCGAGAATCCCGATCTTTTCCAGTATCCCTAAATTATATGTAAGACTTCCAGCCCCAATCGTCGCAACCTTCCAACTTTAAATCCAAGTTACCCTATTCCCCACCACCATTTGCTGTTCCACCGCCTTTAGCTGCCTAATTTTATTTCTTCCAAATTCACATAAGTTTTTTTATCCTAGACTCTAGTCCCAACTACCAATTAATAATATATATATGTTACATTAACAAATTTTATCTTTGTAAAGTCACTAATTGTATTATGTTGCTGAGGATAATGTGTTGGTTTTATTACTTTTGAAATTAATATTGATTTATTCAATGAACCAAACTCAATAGAACATAGTGATATAGAATCAAATTAGTCTAATATTTTATTTTTCTTTTTTAACTTTTATGTTGAACCTCCGATCTTGAAATCCTGAATCCGTCACTGTATACGGGTCTCATCCCTATTAAGAAAATTGTACAAATATGTGATAAGATTAACATTTTACAAAAAAAAATAAAAAACAAAAAAACAAAAATAAAAAAAAATAAAAAACTGGTGGGAATAAGAAAAACGAGGAGAATATCAAACAACCGTGGTTAACCAAATTGTTGACCGGCACGAGCAGGACAAGGCACCAGTTCTCACGCGGTATTGCCGTATTGGCTACCACCCTCATTGTAGGACCGACCCAACAAGTGAGAAATTTTTCAGTGTGATCGGAATAAAGGAAATATACCACGTATTTTTATATGAGCGCTGAAAAATTTTATTTTTTAAGTTATTAATATTTTAATACATACATCCCATAATTTGTATAATAACACGTGATGTATCATTCCGTCTACCGATTACATTAAAAAATTTCTCTCAACCGACAATTGGGTTGGAAGGGGACATCGCGGGACCCATTGATAGTTACCAGACCAGGTGTCCCAAATCTCCTCCCATCAGTGAAAATATCTGCCAACGAAAATACGAGTCCAAATTTGGGGCCCACCTCCAGCCTACAATCGACCGTACACAATCACCACTTTCTGTTTTATTCTCTTCAAATTTTTTTACCCTAATTATGGAATTTATGGATGAGTAATGAGTATGGATTATCAAACTTTATCACTGGATTTTATTCACCAAATGATTGAATTATTTTAATTTCTTTTAAGTTTGGGCTTACATTTACGATGTTTAAGGGGTTTGTGTTCAATTTTTTTTTTTGACAAACGATATTATCTGCATTAAAGAGATGGGTATGCTTAGCTTTACAATAGGCTATCAATAATGTGGTTCAAACTTATTTTTGGTGAGAATTAAACATAAGACCTCTCACTTACAAGTGAAGAGGAATACTACTAGACCGTAGTGCTAAGTGTCAGGCGTTTGTGTTCAATTGATTAATAGTATTCATCCCAACATTTGAAATCTGAATTTAATTCTCTCATCTTACAATCATTTGAATAACAAAAGTTTGAATATGTAGAGTAAAAGATTCTCACATAGGTGAAAGGAAAAACCTTGTAACAATTTATAAGAGGTTAGACTATTCCGCACCTTAACTTCTTCAAGGTATCAGAGCAAGGTTGACTCACTTGAGAAGCCCAATGGCCAAAAGTACTTCTCGTCACCTAATTCGTGTTGTCAATGTGTTTAACTTGAAAATTCACCACGCGTGAGAGGCATATGAGGATGTAAAGGTAAAAGAGTCACACATCATTTAAAAGAAAAACATTGCGAAGACTTATAAGAGGTTGGACTACTCTCTAAATTGCTAATTAATTTTATGATAGAACCTCAACTTATTTATTATACATCTCTCTTACTTGTTTCTTGATCGTTCCTACACTCATCATTGCTCGATCACATAATTAAGTCTAGTCCATTTTTCTTGTGCCAAACGCGACTGACTTTAACGCACCTCTAATTTGAAACTAAAGAACACATTAAGGTTAGTGCCCTACAGCCCTTGGGCTTTTTATCTACTGAAGGACATTGGTACACAGTTTTGTTGTATGTAAAATTCAAAACAAGTCGGTGACCGTGACTAGGATTTGGTGCCAGCTGTGGTATCAACTTCCCAACTGCTGCTTGCCAAAAGTTTCACCCAAGGCATAAATCCATAAATAATGCCACGTGGGCGGCTAGGATGCAATCATCACAACGATTGTGTTCAGTTTGTGGGAGCTCCCCTACTGAGCTTGTCCGCGCGTGCTTCTCAGGTCTCTAGCCACAAAATTCGAAAATTACTTAAGAAACTGATACTTGTACGGCGGTGGGGTGGCGTACGTACGTAGCATTTTGTTTGTCACGTAAATGCATGCATGCATAATCCCGTTGATTGCGTTCTTAGAAAACAATTACAAGATATTATCTACTTGTTAGAGGCATTATTATCCTCATGATCACTTAGCTTACCCTTTCATCATTCCATTGTTGTAACTTCGCATCTCTATCATGTTTGAGATGTATCTTCTCATAGAAATTAGAACTCTCACTAATGTGCCAACTAGCAAGGCGTCCATTCAATTAGCTTTTTCCTTTAGGTAAAAAATATTTAATTTAAAGAGAAGCCTCGATAACACTCAAGATCTCTAGAGTGATACAAAAGAGTGTTCCCAATTTGTTGAGGAATACAGTCATCCCAAATACACAAATTATTGCAATTATGTCCAACATAAGTAATGTAATCAGTAGCAAAGTTTGCTTCTCTATAGACATGGTTCCACACCATCGAGTCAATGGAGGAAGGCAGCCATTTTTTGTCCTGTCCAATAATCCTAATTCTCAAGGTATTGCACACTTCCTAGAAACGATATCAATGACAATCTTCGAGCTACCATCAACTATGATCTTCCTTATTCAGCTCTGTTTGGATTCAGCACTAATTGGTTATCTTCAGTTTTTGTAATATTTCTTTTTCTCGAGATTTTTTCAGCTACCAAACACTATTTCTTAAGAATTCTATCATCGTATCAAAGATTGAAATTATTAAATTTAATCACAGACATTAAATAAACTCGTCATTTAAAAAATTCGAACTACATGTCTGCATTGTGAGATTATAAATCGATGGATCGACGATCACTTTCCACGTTTTGCACTAGACAACAAAACAATCGAAAATGTTTAGGGGTGTAAAGTGAGGGTGACGCTCGACGAAGATGAGTAGGTGAAAGTGAGCTTTATTGGATGGGAGCTTCAAAAGTCAAAGACGGGATTCAACTGGAATCACGCGAGATTCTTACAGCCTGGGAGTGGGGGCCTTCCTACGTGTTGAAGTCATTCTTAATCTTAATTTTTGTAATTTACAAGTAGGCCCTTCCCTTTTATCGGGGTTTGCTTTTTAGGACAGGTTCGATCAGAAGCCGTTGATTTCAGCGACTCTATAGGCTCTAGGGGTTGACTGACGGGGACCTTTATCTACAGCTGTTAAATTGGTGGTAGGCTATAAAAAAAAAAAAAAATAAATCAGTGGCTAAAAAGTAGTCAAAAAAGTTCGTTGGGCCCCAGTCGCCGTTCTAAAACGTTTGTGTTGTGTTTAACAGCCTTGCGTTTCCTGTCATGTGTTAAACGCTCCCTAATTTATCAGTACTCACGCTTCTTGTCCCATGTGAGAATGATTTTATTACTTTTTATTTTCGTTTTATTTTCTCATTCTTGCTCCTCTTTAATTACAATGGCTCAATTTCTCATTACCTCGCACGATAAATAATTCTAAGATCAGTCGTTAAATTGGCTTATGTGCGTATGTACGACTAATTTTTTCAAACGGTGTTGAAAAATATCCAAAATTGTTGCAATCAATCACGTAACATGTTAGGCATAATCAACTAATGTAAGGATAAACGACTTTTTCCAACTCTACTTGCACAATCTCATATTTCAACCACATACGGTAACTGAGTATTTACCCAACAATACTTGTTTATTTATTAAAGGAGATTTAGGTTAAATCTCTTAATTAGTGGCTGGGTCAGAATTTTATAATAATGGAGTCACTATTTTGACATTAAAAACTTCATTGGATAATTTTGTCGAGCTTCTGATGGATACATGCTAAATTATGTCGCATTCTATCGATTTTTGCCAAGGACTATAGAGTGACCTTTTTATTGAACACTTGTTGCACCATACGGTTGCACACAAGAAATAAGAGAAGAAAGACAAAGGAAAGAAAGAAGAAAATTTACCAGTAACTAAACATGGGGTTGCAGAAAAGAAGCAGTAGTTTATAATTAAGTATTTTTGAATCATTCTTTTAATTTACCGCAATTGTGTATATGGATCATATACAAATACAAAGATACATATACATTAGGGTTATGAAGATATTGGGGACATAAGAAGCCAATGACTCCATATTGACTCCATTACTGTCTTAAACGACAGCTGTTAAATTATAAAATATTAAATTTAATACCTACTTTTGAGTTAAAGTAATAAAATATCGATATGTACCATTAGAAATTAACTGTAGGTACCTATCCATATTCTTAAAAAACTAGCTTTCATGCACGCGCTCACACATGTGTAGAATGCATTTTTTGAATCACTGGCATGCTATGCACAACTTACACATTTTAAATGTATTTATATGCATAAATTGACAAAAGAAAAGTCAAATATTTTAAGTAAATGAATAATTTTAGATCATGCTAGAAGAAACCTCTCATAAACCAATTAAAGCAGCTGAATTCACATAATAAAATCGGTCTCTATAGAATTTACATTAAGAATAGAGAAAATAATATTTAACAAACAATTGATTGAATCACATTATTGCTAGCCCATTGTGAGGCTAAGCCCACCCCCTCCCCTTTAGTGTAGATAATATCGTTTGTTAAAAAAAAAAAACAGTCATTTGACAATTAATTGAATCACATTATTATCTGCGTGTGAAAAACATTTTTTATAACCGGCATTACACGCATCTTAAGATGTTTTGAACGTGTTTAAAACTAGAGAAAATAACATTTAACAAACAACTGATTGAATCATATTATTGCTAGCCATTATGAGGCTAAGCCCATCCCTCCCCTTAGTGTAGATAATAAGGCTTGTTAAAAAAAATCATCATTTGACAACTTATTTAATCACATTATTATCCGCATACGAAATGCCTTTTTTTATAACTGGCATTACATGTCTCTTAAGATGTTTTGAACGTGTTTAAAAATAGAGAAATTGAATCACATTATCGCTAGCCTATTGTAAGACACTAATTAAAAAAAAGTACTAAAAAATTAATTATTAAAAAAGCAATATTAAAATGATGAAAATGCCTCTGCCGTATTTGATGCATTATTTTCGAATGCCTTTAAAGTTTTTTGTCTTAAGGGCGTTTTTGCCCAAATATTTTTGTTGAAGCTTGGTGACACAAAAATCACTATTCACCTTTTGTATTCTCTTTATATATAGATGAGGGTACGTGCGAGGTAACCTTCATGATTCATTACGAAGACAATACTACAAAAGTAAGTCAAACATTTCACAATCACCTATCCCAATCAGACGTGGTTTATATTAAATTATTAATTCAGTTTTAGTTACATTTCTAATTTTTTTTTTTTTTTAATTTAAAATATAGAAAATTAATGAAAAAGATTTGAAAATTTTGAGTTTTAATGATAAGAACAAAATAAAGGATAAAATAAATAGTACAAGGATTGATTTTTTAATGTAAAAATATAATTTTTCGTTAAAGTAAATAGTATCATAAGTTTTTCGTTAAATTTTTTCTAAAATATATACATATAGGATATATATATATATATATATATATATATATATATCAGAAATTTAGAACACGAACGGCTCTAAATCTAGATAATAACATGCATAAAACGCAAGTTAGTGTTAATTCTGGACACATGTCATATTTTAGTTAGATTATTCAAACCGTTCAGCATTATTATATGACAAGACAAATAACGTACGATAAATTCGTGAGGGATTGATTTGGCCTCGCTGCCTAATTTACACAAAATTCACATGTTGCATAAACTTGATTGATAATATTAAGTTCATCAAGACACACAATTTAAGTATTTAAAATTTGATCAAACGGATAAAGTTATCAAAATTTTTAAAATAAATCCCTTTTCATAATCGTTAGATCAAATTTTAAAGGTTCAAATTGTGTAATTTGATAATTTTGGTGGGAAGAAAATCCTTCCCCGAAACATGACAGCTCACATTATCTCAATATATCGGGGGAAGCCCCAAAATGGTAAATGAACAAAACCAGAGGCTCCAGAGAAAGAAAAAAAATCCGGAAAAATAAATATATGCTGACATAAAACAAGGGGTGCGCATGTACGCACTCGGTTCAAGCTAGCACCCCGCCCACTTTACAAAAGCCAGTTTCGTGGAAGTACCCTTCTCCTCCCCTCTCTATCTTCCATAAAAAGTGCTCACAAGTGCATGTATCTCGCCCCCTAAATACAACACCCAAAACACAACCTTTCTCTCATTCACTCCTCCTCCTCCTCTCTCTCTCTCTCTCTCTCTCTCTCGTGCACTCACTCCTCACTCAGCTCGAACAAACACCATCACTATTTCCATGGAAGCGATGAATATGTGCTCGTCATCTACTTCGTCTTCCGGCACTTCCTCGTCTGAGTCTTCCCTCCCGAGAAATCCCAACAAGCCCGAACGAATCAAGGGCCCGTGGAGCGCTGAGGAGGACCGTGTCCTGACCCAGCTCGTCGACCGCTACGGGCCTAGAAACTGGTCATTGATAAGCCGGTACATAAAGGGCCGGTCCGGGAAGTCGTGCAGGCTCAGGTGGTGCAACCAGCTGAGCCCCAGCGTCCAGCACCGACCCTTCTCTCAGGCCGAGGACGAGACCATCTTGGCCGCACACGCTCGGTTCGGAAACAGGTGGGCCACCATTGCCCGCCTGCTTCCGGGTCGAACTGACAACGCGGTGAAAAATCACTGGAACTCGACGTTGAAGCGGAGGGTCATGGGAGATCAACTAACGGAGGGTGGTAGTTTTGGGGGCGGCGGCGGCGGCGGCAATGTGGGTAGTAATGAGGGGATCAGCACGAGTTCGGTTTCCGGATCTTTGGCCAATGGGTCGATGGAGTTTGACCCGTTGACGGAGTTGACTTTGGCACCGCCGGGGATTGGTAGCGGAAGCGGCGGGGCGATGGGGGGCGAGCAGCAGAGGAATAATGAGAGTGTGCCGTCGGGGTTTTGGGACTCGATGAGGGATGTGATCGCTAGGGAGGTTAGAGATTACGTGGCGACAACATTTTCAGAGCCTTCGGAGCTTCATAGATTAAATTAATCATGCTTTTAATTTTCTGATTATGTTTTTGTTAATATGTTGGCTTCGATTAATTCTCAGAGGCAGAAAATGTGAGATTTTCGAATGAATATAATTTTAAAAAATATTTGAAATTATGAAATTGTAGTTCTGTTGAAAGTGGTGTTTCCAGCCTGTCACCAACGAACAAGTGGAAACTGAATGGAAAAGACAACAAGTGGAGGATGTTAATATAAAAATTCTGTTCACTGACATAGGATATTGTTGAGATGATTTAAAATACTGGCAAGTAGATTTTAGAATATCTCGTTTCGTCACACTTATCGTAAATCAACTTTGTGGCGAATGTGTTTGCTTGTGCGGATCATTCTTCTTGTCTATGAAGCTTGGTGGAATCTTCCTATTGAGGCGAGATCAACTTGGATTTGAGATTTTCATAATTTTAGATGCCCGATGGATATTTTTGTTGTAATTCGGTTATTTTTTTTAAAGTGTTGATCAAATCGTTCAGACAATTAATTTTGCATGTTGTACATGTTCGTATGACAATTTTTCAAAAATTTGAGATTGTTTGTCGTAGGAACACGTATTGGCGTAAAAAACATTGTGTGAGCGGTGAATTAATCGTGTAATATATGTTCGTATACCAGTTTTGCGGTGACTAATTTGGTATGAGTGGGAATTTAGGTATAAATATGGAACAGAAGTTAGCATAATATATTAACAGTTTTTTTTGGTAGCTAATGAAATTCCAGCTGCTGAGAGAATATAATTAGTTTATAGCATGTTGTGTTCATCCATTGAATTGACACACGGAAGAAAAGTTAGGATAAGAATGTATTATTATGCAATACCATCCAACGCTAACGGCTAATTATCACGGAGTGGTTCAGTAGTTGAAGATGAATTTTAAGCCTGTATTATATACAATATGTATTGGGTTTGATTATTGCCGCTGGAAAAGCATACAATGGTGGCCAGGAGAGACTAAAATGTCTCTGTAAGTCTTCTTTGTCCCGGAAGGGTAGAATGTCATGGCAAAACCACCAATTGAATTTTTTTTTTTAAAGAAAAAAAAAACGCTAACAACTTACTTTTAAAAAAAAAAAAATTAACATAATAATATCATCTACATTAAAGGGTTAAGCCTCACAATGAGCTAGTAATAATATGATTCAAATTCGTCTTTGACGATAATTGAATTTAAAACCTCTCACTTAATTACCAATAAAGAGAAATACTATTAGAACGTAATACTAAGTATAACCAACTTAGTACCTGAATTGATGGGAAAATGAGCATATTATTTGTTACATCTTAATTAATAAATAAATTGGGTAAAGATTTACAAGAATTTGACTATATATATATAAATGTGTCCATTTATTTATCTTCAATCATACATGAGTGGAGAAAATTGGTTGAAAATATCAATTACGTAATTTGGCCTTTCTAATTAGCAAGAAAATATGATGGTAACTAGATTTTTTCTAGATAACGAGAATAAAGTCTCGCCTCCTACTCCGGATACATTCTGGTTGGTGTGCATGCACCAAAATTAATAACACGCAATTCTGGTTGCCCGGATCGGTTCCACAACTCGTGCAACCATTAAATCAATACAAATGACCTGGGAACTGAGGATTTTTTTCTTCAAGAGTTGAGATTTGTACCATTCAGAATCAAACTGCAATATGTTTCATGTTTCCAAATAAAAACAAATTCATGTTGGATATATGTCAACAATCTGTGATAAACTTGTATATGCTAATCAATAATAAATATTGAACAGAGTATGAACAATGAAATAATATTAAACAGAAAATTTGAAGATCGAGGCTTACGTACCGCAATGTCCTTGAAACAAAAATTTTGTCTCTACTTAGTGCTTATAGTTCTACTGACGTCTGCTTCACCAGGATTTAACGATCTAAGTCAGGGATTACAGAATCGGAAAAATTGACTTCTGGCGAATTTCTGTGTGATTCTCTCAGAAAGGATGTTTATGATTGTAGAAGAAGAATGTTGATTTTCTGTGTTCTAAATGCCATGCAGATGGATGTATATATAGTGAGATTATGCCTGTTCGCAACAGGTATGAGAATGAGGTGTGACTGTTGGGAGACATCTCTTCAAAGGGGTTCTTTGCTCTGCGTTTTTTCTGAACTCTTCAGACTTCATCTGAAAAGATAAGTCTGTTGGTAATAATAATAAAATAAATAATTAATTAAAAATAACTAGTTAAATCCAAAAATAATTAATTAAATAATTTAATTATTAGAGCCCAAGGTCCAAGGCCATCTATAATTAATTATATATCAATTAATTATTACACCCCAAACCCAACTCTAAGGTGAGCCCAATTTTACTCTCTAAGGCCTATCACTCTAATCACTTACTGTAAGGGACAAAAACTTTATAAAGTAAGGAATCCTTTTAGAAATAGCCAATGTGGGACAATGAAATTTCTACTCAAAATTTCCAACAATTCAAACTCTTTGAAAAACGATTTCACACCCACCACCACTGACTTTAATATATTTGAAACCCAAGTACGAAAGGACTTTTTCACCATCTTTTCTTCCACTGGAGGAAAAGCTAACAAAGCATACGTACGATCGAATAGCGGCACCCTGTTTTGGCGCGGTGTGATGGGAAAACAAACTGTCATCTCATTGAAAAGTCGTGTTCCCCACTTCTGCTTCTACAGAAGCACTTTTGGATTTGTATAAGCAATTCATGCATGCATGGTCTGCATGTTTTAAATGTGTATGCCAAACCTCCATCGTAGAAAAGGCTTTCTTGAATGTGATGTGTTTCATGTGACTAAAAGAAACTGTTACAAAAGTTTCTGGACTGTTAAAAAGGCCCATAAGACCATAAGCCTAACTACAATACGAGGTAGCCCGTCAGAAAGCATACGAGACAACGATGCAGGAGGCCCACCCATCATGAGAGAGATTATCGGATGCGATTAGGGTTGTAAATCGGATAGAAACAATTCGAGTTAGTATTCGACTCGGTTCGTATTTGAATCGTCGAAGCTTAACTCATCATAGAAACAAACCAAGTCTGGTTTGACTGGATTAAGAAGCAAGTCAAACTTGAACATTAGTATTTCATAACAATTATAGTATGGCGCCTCGCAATGTAAACGAGGCTAGGATGCATGAGTCCCAACCATAACGAGAGAGTGCCAGATACAGACAGTTCAACTTCTACTTAGAAATCTCATATTGAGTAATGCTCGGAGGACCATATATGTTAAATATGAACTAATCATTTAGACCAGGGTTAATGTGATATGATTCAGATTTACAGTCTAACAACATAAACATCTGAAAGATTCAAATAGTCTAGCTAGCAAGAGAACATTTTCCATGAGCTGAACTTTTCTTTTTCTGTTTTGTTTTACTAGAACGTAAGATAAATTTCAAACAAACCAAATCATCTTTATTGCGAACATGAAAATCAACAAACAAAGACAGATTTATCAAACAAATTTCCACCTACAAGTATCATTGGGGAAATTTTTTATTTTTACTGAAAACCCTCCAGAATTATTGAACTACATGGTATCAATCTGGTTTATGTATGTGTATAATGTATTTGGTTTGCCGTCTCTTCTTCCCGGAAGTTTTATTTGTGTGCTTTCAAACTCTGAGTTTAATTATTCCAACGTGGTAGTGGGACGGCAAAGAACTTCATCAGCCCATCCTTGCAGTTCTTGCCATCTTTATCACCACTGGCAAAGTAATATGGCCTCCACTGAGTCAGCTCCACCTTGAAGCCGTCGCCACCTCCCTGCGTCTGACTCGCCAGCAGCTTGGCTTTGCTGAAGTCGCAAGTGATGTAGCTCCCCAGGTTCGGCAGTTGGTATACGCTGTAGCCGGAGTTCGCATCGCTTGGTGGATCGTACTTGAACACTGCAAAAGTTAAACATAAGCATAAATAGTTGACGTACGTATGCATGCATGGAATAATATCGAGCTATGGAATGGACATCTGGATGTCCAACTAACTGTCGGTATTGTCATTGATAATGTGTCGATATCGTTGTCACAAACCAAACAAACTGCCATGTTAATATGTTATTGTGCAATATAAATATAACCATGTCTATTGAAATTCAAGAAGGGATGTCATGCACAGAGAATTTTGATGTTAAAGGATACTAACCTAGTTGGTCATTTATGTAAAAGGGGCTGTTTTGGAGAGCCCAGTCAGTGTAGTTGTAGCCAAAACGCCAGCCTTCAGACCCTCCAACGACGATGGTTCTGGCCTCTGTCACTGCCAACAGAGAGGCAGCAGCTAGGAGGAGGATGAACCCTTGTGCATTAGAACTCAAAGCCATTGTTGCTCCACTAGTAATGTCCTTGTAAAAAATCTATGCGCTTGAATGTGTGAGAAGGTGATGAGAAAACATGAGAGGGTTATGGGGTTTATATAGGAAATAAAAGGTGATTAGATTTGCCTGTTTCTCTTTAGTTGGTAAAAATTTGAGGCTTTTGATTCAATTAATTCGACATTTTCACAATTTTCAGATTTTCCAGAAGCTGAATTTCAAAACCCTTTTCTCATTCGGTAATTACTGAATTGCCAACCTTCATATTACAGCATAACTTTACTCATTAGTTGATTGTGTGACAACAGGACCAGTAAACTGGAGGGGTAAAAGAGTAAAACTGATTGGTTGACAAGTGATTTGGTCGTCGTAAATTTGGTAATTATCCATTAAGAGCAAGAATTTCATGTAATTGCAATGATTCGTGGCGCATTAACAGTTCAGAGGTCAGCTACGGCAACGGAGAGTAGGTGTGGGACCGTGGGTTTGTTTAGAGACGAGGGTACAAGGGTCAACATATTAACCGTAAATATAGACGGATTCTCTTATTCAACGAGGTCTTAATTTCAATGGTTTATTGTCAAATAATCACTTGTAATGTATTTGGAAATTCCATTACATCTCTAATGGACGATTTCCACATGTTAAGTTGGTAACACGAGAGAAGCTCTTATCCAAATGACGAATCAAAATCGCACATTGTTTTAATTATCAACTAAGCTAGACAAAAATCATAAATTTGTTTGTTAGTCATCCATATACATCAAATAAATGAAACAGTTCATCTTGATGATATTACTCGTTACCAAAAGATCGATTTGTGTTATATAAAAATCACTAAACAGTCTCCAATTTAATTCAAATTGTGCAGGAATGGTATCTTATTAATAATAAAAGAAACTAAAAATGACTTTTGTACGAATAAAATATATTAGTCATAACTAGGTCAACAATAGGTGCACCCATGACAAACACGAGTAGACAAAAGTACCATCCATATTCCATATTCTTAAAATATAAACTAACTGAAACTTTTCTCCCTCTAGGACCCTAACATAACGCATCAGGTGCAAGTTTGAGTGGGTCGACTGGTAAATACAAGTATTGTCCACATTTTTAAAATCTCAACCATCCAAACATTCTTCCTGCAAACCCTAATGATGACCGTTAAGTGTAAGTATGAGTGACTGGTCGACTAGCTATATTGCTCTTGTCAACCCGTCCACTCACACCAACGCGTATGATGCGCACCATTGGGGTTTGCAGAGGAGACCTATCTTGTAAACTAATGCTACATTTTCAAAAGTGGTCATTGTGTCTTACTGATCACAATAACTTCAGCAGCTAGCAGAGCAGCTGGATACTATCGTTGACTGAATTGGTGGGAAATGGCTAGAAATTCAAAAATCCCACATACTATAACAAGCTTAAAAGTCCCAGAACCCATCGTTTCCAACCCAGGAAAGGAATGAATACTTAGGGTCCACACTTGCTTTAATTCTCATAGCTGGTGGTAGTTTACAACTTCCAGAAGTAATGTTAAATCTCCAGAATATTAAGTGGTGGTAAATTTGTTTCTTTGCTTTCAGTTTAGTTGCAGACAAAAGTACAACCAGTTCTACAGGATTTGCCACTTCAAAAAAAATTACTAATCTAAACTGTAAGGAACGAGATTGAAGTAATGGGTGTAGGATGCAGCAAATCTGACCTACAATTACTTTTTTTGTTAAATGATTTGATTTGATTGATTAAAAGATAAAAAAAGGCAATTGCTTAAGGGAAAAACTTGAATCATTATTTTAAATGCAAATCACAGTTTGACATGTTTTAGTGATCATTGCAAAAATGCCTGATTGGTAATGTATGTAGCTTAGCTGAATTTAGCTCCTTTTCCTTTTCAACTAAACAAAGTTAGAGAGGCAATTCAAAAATTCAAAAGGAAGTCTCCCAAATTCATTTCCATCCTCCCAGAATCAATGACACCAACATCACAAAATGTACGCCTTCCCTGTGCTAACAATGTACCCAACAGCATAGAACAGAAGAACATCAAAGATTAAAAATTTTAAAAATACAAATAATAGGAAAGTTGTTACTAAAACCAAATCCAAAACCCAATAGCCAGAAATCAAACATTTGCAGTTTGTGGGGATTGAACCACAGATTCTTGCTGGGTTTGTGCTGGGTTTGCAGTTGGAGTGGAAGTGGCAGACACAATAGGCCTTGGAATCTGAGTGCTGATTCTTCCATCAATGCAGGATGAACATTTCGCTTCTGCCCAGCTCTCCAAATCGTAATGTCCGTACCCCAAAATACTCATCCCAGAGCAGAGCCTTCCAATCACAGCAGCAACCAGACCCAAAAGTGCAACCACCACAAGAACAGCAACAACTGCTCCAATGGAGCCATGAGGTGTGTGGGAACTGTTGGTGTTTTGCTGCAGCACAAAGTCTGGTGTAGATTGCTGGGTCTGATCCAATGGCCTTGACATTTTTCAGGCTGATCCAGATGAGGGAAATGCTGGGTTTTCTACTCCTTTGTGCCTTGAAATGCTCCCCAAATGCTGCAAAAGTCTGAAGCTTTTTTGTGAGTTGCTCAAGAAATCAGAATAGGTTTAGGGTTTTGTGGCCTATGGTGGGTAATGCATGGTTTCCTTTTTGGAATTTGGTTCTTGGGAGGGTGGATTTATTCACTTGTTTGGAAGAATAGGCCAGAAGTAGAGTTTATTCTCCTATAGAGAGAGAGTGTGGACTCACTGAAGAGAGAGAAATTGTAAACTTATAAGATTCTGTTGAAGCATTTAGATTTCGTGAACATTCTCATCAATTGATTTTTTATTTTACCCCTTTTGGAGAAGAAATTTTTGGTAAGGTTGTCTAATTAGAACTGTTTGCGTATCTAGTGAAATCAATGTAGCGTTAAGTAGCATCAAAATATTGGGGATCTTGTGTTTGTGAGAATTTATCACGGGTGACGTGGTTCAGGTTCTATAGTAAATATTGATGATTCTATGTTTGTGAGAGTTCTCATAGATGACATGGCCTAGATTCTTTACGAAAATTCTCTAGCAGAGATAAGGGAAACTTCGATAACAACTATCTTATAGAGAGAGATGTGGTGAATCACAATTGTATTTTTTTTTTTTTATTTATTTTTTTTATACAACAATATATTACACTAAAGGGATGGAAGAATATATTAGTTGCGAAATCGTAATTTCCAATATTTAAACTTAAGATCTCTCATTTAGGCCATCTCCAATCATATAGGGCTAAATCCAGCCCTTGGCTATGTTTTATTTGCCTTCATATTTTGTTACTTCTGGGCCAAATTTAGTGCTCTATGAGACTACTGACTGCGTTGAGGCCAAACTTAGCTTTGATTTTTAACTCCTACTTCCATCATATTTTCTAAATTGATGTTCTAATATCTTCTTGTCATTTCTTTTACCCTGATTCCTTTTAGCCCGTTGATTAGAGATTGCTTTTGTCAAATTTAGTGCTAAATGTGGTCCGTAATCTTTGGCTGAAGATAACTTTAGAAGTGAATAAAAATACGGTTAGATTGTAGTACAATTGTGTTAACTAAGCAGCGTAACTATCCTTGGTAACATGAGAATTCCCATAAATCCCTAGAAAATTCGAACCCCAAGCATCCGTAAGAGACTCCAACCCCTTTTCCATCAATTTTGATAGTACTAAGATTTGCTGTTTTTGATATATTGTATATAATCATGAATGTCCAAAGAAATAAGGTGTTTAAAAATAAAAATTAGGGGCACAAAGAATCAGTCATTTTTCAATTAGAGGAACCGAAGGGGGAAAAAGGACAAAAGCAAAGTAAAAAGTAATCGGAAAAGTTGGAATCTTGGAAGCGTAAAAACACTTTCCAAGAGAAGCACTTCGGAAAAAAGTCATTGTGCCTTTTCAGCTCATTTTTTGTTACCGTATGAAGAAATCATGCTAACAATCTTTAGAATTTCAAAGTTGAAAACCCTTTCAACATAGAGATTATTGTTGTGGCCTATTTTATCTGATAAGGGAAGGGGGCCGAAGGCATAGAGAGAGAAAATAAAGAGACATGTGTTTGTAGGATTGTGTAAAGGAATGTGTGTTTCCCCCATACGCAGTGCCTTTATTTATAGTAATAAGAGAGAAGAAATCCTTCTCCTCCAAGGAATACAAGTCCATATAGGAAAGAATAACTAGAATCAAATCTAATCTAGGATTTACACAATCACACCTAAACAAGAAGTTTATAACACTCCTCCTTAAGTGTGTAAATACTCAATTAGATTTGGCATCATGTAGAGGTTGAGGAAGTCGACTCGTCGACATTGATTATGGGAACACGTTATTCTCAATAGGGTAGGAACTTGCATAAGGAAGTAAGTCTCACAAAAAACCCTATGGCTATGGTAAAAACTCAAGTAGGGACAAAACCCATAGTCTAAGAAAAGTGCATGAGAAATGCAAAGTCAAATGAAACGTCTATGAGACATCATCAAGGATATGATCAACCTAAGGTGAGTGCCTCGTTAAAACCTAGTTAGGTAGTGAAAACCCAGTGGGAAAAATGCTCCTAATCGTAGGGAAAAAGAGTACATTAAGATCAAGCAAGTATATTTAGGATACTCCCCCTGAGTTTGACACAATTCCAAAGAGAACTAGCAATGTTACAACTCAGAAAGTTTATGTATACCAATTCCTTGAACAAGCTTCTGAAACGTCGCATTTGATAATGATTTGGTGAAGAGGTCAGGCCATATTGTCTTGTAAACTAATTTGCGTGACTTCAATTTTCTAATGATCTTGTTGTTGATGTGAGAAGAAAAATTTCGGCACAATATACTTGGTGTTGTCTTCTTTAATGTAACCCTTCTTGAGCTGTTCGATGCAAGCTGTGTTGTCTTTATAGATCATCGTTGGGACATCAACAACGAGGTAAAGATTGCAGGAGCTTCGAATATGGCCCACAACTTCTCTTAACCAAAAGCATTCCCGAGTTGCTTCATGTAAGGCTAAAATTTTAGCATGGTTAGACGAAGTGGCAATTAAGGTATGTTTAGTTGACCTCT